TAAGAAGGTTTTGCAAAAAGGGGGTATTTGTTGTCCTGGAAGCCTTTTTCATGCCTAAAAGTTGCTATCTGAGAGAACAGAAAGGCCATTGTAAGTAAAACAAGCCAGCAGGGTGAGGTAGAAGTCACAATGTTATGTGTCTTTGTTCAAACTTAAAGTAAAATCTAAATTAAAGTCATGAGTGGTTCAGATGGATCCTTTTCAGATGGGTTGTCTCCTTGTCAAAAAAGGGACGGAGTCCTCCAGAGCTCTACTGCTAAGCCTGGAGAGCTGGTCCCACCACACAGGTGTCTGGCTTGCATCCTTCAAAACAGTTCAGCTGATTGCTGCTGTGAACAAACATGAAATTGAAATGTAGTTAATTAAGACCCCTAATTTTTTCGTTATCCCCTCACCATAAGCATTTTTTCTTTAATTTTCCATTATCTCATTGCATTACTTCTAACATTTAATCTCTTTATTAGAGAGGAAACAGAAAAAACACCAGAAAACCACCTCACCCTGCTCCTCCCCTTCTGAATCTCCTAGTAAACAAAACAGGGAGAGTTACCTGTGACAATCAGAACCTATAATGTGATGGATGGTTAAGATATTTACATGACATCACCCTTTGCTTTCAGTTGTTAGTTTTTCTACTTGCTGCATTGTAAAATAAGCTGCTCAGCTTTGAAGATGAGAGAAGCAGATAAATTTATTGATAAAAGACAGTGTGCTTCCATTCTAAAACTCTCCCCTTTGTTGTATGGTTTACGTGAGGACATCAGTTACCAGAAAAAACATCAGGATCTGCAGATAACTCATTCATTTGATGGTGCTATTTTTAAAACACAGACCGTGTACGTGAATGTCACTGACATCACACATTTTCTGTGTTCTGATAGATCTTCATTTGTCTTACTCTTTGTTTTGCAGATTCCGTCTCTTCTCTTTGAAATAAATTTTCCAAAGCAATTGCGTTGCATTTACATGGCTTTACAAAACGTTTGAGTAATGCATTGTAAAAGACATCAGGATGTTCCTGTTTGGACATTTGCTAGAATTGGTTCTAATTTATTATGAATTAACAGCTAATTTTTATAATCTTTATTACTTTTCTTTTATCTCAGTTCTTCCATATAAAATCATCAAGTGAAATCTTGGACTCGCTGAACTCAGTTTCATCTGAGGGGATTTTGATCTTGCTGAAGCCCATTGAGATTTTTTCCACTCATATGGGTGACACCACTGTCAATATAGATGAGCTTAGGCTAAGGAAATTAATAAATCCTATTTACTGTTCAAATCTAGATTTCCCCCCAGTATGTATGAGAAATCTAACAATGAGAAGAAATGCTAATATTACTTTTAAAATTTGTGTTGCCTTGCAAGAGGTCCATTTGTTTATGAGCACACTGAGAGCCATGTTCACTGTGTAAGGTACAGAATGTGAAGCTGTTTATTTTGGGCTGCCAGAAAGCACCTGACCATGTTGCCGACATCATTGTAACTGTTTGAGTAGTTGTTCAGCAAAAGCCTTTGAAACCACTCCACTCATTTCAAAATGCTCTCCTCTAATTTCAAGAGGGAGTTTCTCCACACATAGTTGAAAGACACTGAAGAGTTTTCACAGCTGCTCTCAGTGTTGCAGGCTCTGTTCGGTGAACTTCAGTTTGACGGCATGGCAGATCTCACAAGCAAAATGATCGCTTTGAAATAAAACAGATTCGGTAATAGGAAGCTTAACAATTGTTCCTGTTGAACAATAATTGACTATATGCACTTAAAGCCATTAAATAATAGATTTCAAAGTGTGGGTAGCATGTGTTGAAATGGAGAAATACTTTAATGTATCCTAGGTTTTTAACATTTTTTTCTTCCTTCCACTGAGTTTACTTTTTAATCTTCATTCTATTCATAAAGATGTGTAAATATACTGACAGCTGATTTCTTTTGCTCTTACCACAGGTGGTTTACAAGCCCAACTACTGTAAATGCTTTTTATAGTGCATCTACCAACCAGATCAGTGAGTATCTGACTCCTGAGCCTCCTTATAAATTACCTGTTTGGGAAATGTATGTATCAAACTTCAGATAATATCTGTATGGTTTGTGTATTTGTGACTGAAAATCAAAAGCTCAAACCTCATAATTCAGCTGTGAGACATCTTAAGTGAGAGGGTAGTTCTGGAAAAGCAAGGGCTCATGCAAATTTGAATTACTATTGTTTAATGAATTACCCCGTGTCAGCTGAGTTGCAGTGACTCTGTGTGTACTCTGTCCACTGCAAATGTTAGCTTAAATCACTTCTATTAAAGCTTAATGTTTCTGTCTTCTATTTCCTGTAGCAAAAATGTGTACACATACCTCCATAAATACACAGTAACTGTGATAGCAACTCAGTCTTCTAGTATTAATAAATATGTAGCAATAAATGTCACTAGAGGAGACTGATATAGACCAGGAAGCCCAAGAAGTGGTGTCCAGCAGATTTGTTCAAAATGTTCAAGGACAAGGAGTGCTAGCTGTAGTTGACTTTAAATTCTTACCTGTATAGTCTGATGACATTATCTTGTATGTACAGTGCAACATGTCTTATGCTAATTTTAGTTACTGGTTGTTTTTAGAGAGCATAAATCCTGGGTTGGAAGCGTATGAGGTAAAAGAGCTGAGTGTTTCAAAAAGTTTGACGTTTGTTTCCACTTACTTTAATAGGACTTTGCATCAAAAATTTCTAACTGGCTTCAAAAGTCTGTACCAGTATTTCTGTGGATAACAGCGTTATCTTTACCCTGACAATTCACTTTTACTAGCTTTGCAATTTAAATCAGCCAGTCTTGTTCTGTGCCATGGGTCTGGAAGGTGGCTGCTATAACCCCTATGGGCTTGGTCCCCAAGGACAGGCATGTCAAAAAATCTGAGTGACTCCCCCTTTTTCTCCAAATCTCTTTTGGTTGCACAGAGGAGTAGCTTTTGAAAGGCACAAGACTAATGTATTGCAGTGAAGAGCTTACAAGAGAGGACTGGCTATCCGGGTCTGCTGGTATTTGCTCCTACCAATTTCTGTAAACAATTTTTGCCTTCAGACTATTCACTTAAATTCTTTTATGTCCAGCTAAGCTCACTTGTAAAATAAATATGATAATGAAGCAGTTCTTCTGATGAAAATTAGTTCTAGGCCTAGACTGCTCTACCTTAATTAGCGGGCTGCCATCATTAAGCATCCATGTTTTTGTTGCTCATCTGAGGGAGCACTCGAGGCAAATTTCCCTGAGCTGATCACAGCTCTGAGGTACAAGTGAATCACGACAGCTGCTTCTCCTCCTGAACGAAGCACCAGCCGCTGCTGCTGCTTCAGATGTATCATGTGAACGGAGGGGAAGCTCAGTCAGCGCGAAATGAGAACCATTGCTGTTATGTCTTCTTTAATATTGGGCCCTTTCAAGTTTCAGCAGTGTTCAGCTATCTTGCCCTCTCTGCCATGGCACATTAGAGAAAGTTGCAACAAGAGGTTGAAGTCGCTGAAGCTAAATTTCACACTCGCTGTGTCTACCAGTGTCACGAAGCAGAGAGCTGTCAAACGTAACCAATCAGTCATGGGTGTAGAGGCGATTGTGTTTTCTGTCATAACTGCTGACCTTCGTGTACTGCTGGCATCTGACCTTGAAGTTTGGATAGTTCTGCTCACTGTCCTTTTAGGACTTTTCTTAAGAGGAAAAGGATTTAGGTGAAGGAAACCCCCTCCTACCTGAAAGAGAGATACAAATGTAGTCATGCCCTAAAAATTATGCACAATAGGAGAGAAGATTCAAAGCACGGCACAGTACAAATGGTCTTCCACTGCTGGCTGGTGTGATTTGCAGGAGAAGAGGCCCTGTGAGATGTGGGAGGAACATGCTCAGGTCTGAAGGTGCTGACAAATATTTGCCACATCACATCTATTGGGGAAGAACTGCAATGTGGGAGACAGAAGTTTGTGAGCCCATGCACACTCATGTTGCATGATGTTTCTTCTGGGCAAATCACACGCCCAGCAGTTATTACCTCACTGCTTTGCAGCAATGTTTTCACCAATAATCCACAGAAAATTCTCTAGGGGCTAGTGATATACTACAAAAATTGTGGCCTTTTTAAAGTCCCAGTTAAACAACAGAAAAAAGGTTCTACAAAAGAGTCGAGAATAAGAAGTAAGCATGAACTCTAGCAAGTTAAAAGTAAAGCATATATAGCAAGCCCACAAAGTATATATATCAAATATATAGCAAGCCCACAAAGACTTTGAGGACCAACTTTCTAAGAGCATAAGAACTGATAACAAAGCCTTTTTTTCAAATACATAAAGAGGATAAAATTCTTTGCATTGGAAGAGTTTGGGAAGTTCTAATCATGGAGATTTTTCTTATGGGAGGTAAGTCCCAGGAAGGGTTTCAAATTCAGTGTCAATAGAAGGTACTTTAGAAGAAACTAATAAAATTAACTGTGACAAATACAAGGACCAGATAATATTCTATCAGGTTTTTCTAAGGATCTTAGACAAGAAATTACCACACAACCAGCTTTAATGTATAGCTTATCACTTATAGGGGCCTTAGCACAGGAAGAATAGATGAGGCAAGAGTCAAAGCCTTTTTTTCACAAAAGAATCCAGAGGGATCTGCATAAAAAGTCATTCTAGCCCCTATATGAAGGAAACTGGTCATGATGACAACATGAATGAATAAGAGAGAATGAATAAGCATATGATGTAATGGGGAAGAGTCAATGTGACTTTGTTTTTGCTTTTCTTTTAGAAAAAGCTTTTAGAAAAAAATACTTTCTTCATCTATTAGTTTTTTGAAATTCAGAAGGCGAGTAAGTATGCTTGATGTCCTATGTTTATCTCCATAGAACACTTTTGACCAGGTTCTTTCCCAATGATATTAACTGAACATTGTCATGGGACAAGAAGGAAGGTCCTTTCATAAATTAATGACTGATTAAAGATAAGAAAAGGAGATTGGAAAAAATTGCTTATTTTCCAAATAGTTAGAGGGGTGTGTTACGAGAATCTGTGCTGGTCGCTATTAGCAGATGATCTGAAAAAGAGGGTGTAGGGCCTTCTTTTCTGAACAAAAGAACAGACAGATATAACTCGGTCCAGGAGGACAGGTCCCTCTGCTTCTGATTGCTCTAAGGTAGAAAGATAATAGAAAGATATACTAGTAGAAGAGTTACTTCACAGATATGTGCCTGACATTCTTTCACTACACATCTACTACTGATCGCTGATGGAAATAAGAGGATGAAACAGATAGGCTCTTCATCTGCTTGAGTGCCCCTTCTCTTCAGTAAGCAAATTAGATTTTAGTGTGTTCAAGGCACAGCTATTTTTGCTCCTGGTGAATGAGTTTACTAAGAAGGAGAATTTGAGAAATGAGAATTTTAAAAATGTAGAGTAGAATTTTTTTCTGGAAATTATCTTTTACATTATCTGGAAAATACCTTGGTTCCAAAGTTGATTCTAAAAATGAAGACCATTTACTTTGGAAATGGAAATGTACTGTGTGATGTTATCGGCATAACCACAGCAACTCCAAACTTGGTTAGTCACTGAAGGCTTCATGAAAGAGTTTAGAGAAAAAGCAACATCAGTGCCTTAAAGCATGGATTCTGAAAACGAGCTACCATCAGGTACCTGCAGAAGAGGCAGAGAATGTGGAGGTCCTGATCACTTCTGAACTTTGTGAAGATGCTTTTGCTTTCTGTGCTCAGAGCATAGGGAGGTGTCTGATGGAAAGATTACAAATTCTTCTGTCTCTGTGGTCTGTATCACTGACGTGAGCATTAAACAAGAAATCACTGCAATCTCCATATGAGTCCATGCAATCCTCACACACAAGCTGTTAGTGTTTTTTACTTGACTATTCAATTACTTGAAAGAAAAGGTCTTTCTTCACTAAAAGTGAAAATTATTAGAGAGTAGAAACTAGATGGTTTAGAAAGCTATTAGATTTGGGAGAATGCATCAAAACTTGCATGTGCAGTAGATTGTAATAAATTTTGCTGCACTTTAGTGCAAACATCCTTCTGTTGGCTATTGCTTTGTTTAATTTTCATTTCTAAACTATCAATAACTTGAATGGCCAACAATTCTGTTAATATCTCCAAAAGAGGAATAAGTAGATGTATCAAAGCAAGATGCGATGCAAAGAGCAGAGTTAAAAAATATGTTACATATAATTTATCTCGTTATTATATGAGTTTACTCCTGATGTTCTCTTTACATGAGTTCTATTTATTTATGTCCTCTTTTTCCATAATTCAAAGTGTCGTAGATTAACAACCATGCATGTTTATAATGGTTGTTAATAGTTTTTCAATCCTAGTTTGGATCATTTTTCAATTTTCTTTGCATTTGCTCATGAATATCCCCTCAATTATAGGTACTTAACAAGGCCAACAGGTAATGTCATTGCCTTTAGATTCTAAAAAGATATCTAAGTACACTTCACATAATCTAAGCAACATGAATAATGTCTTTTTAATTATCATCACTGGAATACAAGAACACTTTTCAAAAGTCTATTTTAATGAACTCTAGAGCAGTCAACAAATATGTGCTTAAAATAGATACAAGTGATGATCAAAGTATGCTAGCATACTTCTGTTGAAGAGAAGGTTTTATTTCATTACAGCACTAAAATATTGGCCCTTGAATGTGTTTAAGATAGAGGAGAACTGCTCATTAGACATTTGGTGTGTTTGATTTTCTTTCCAAGTGTAAATACAGAATCATAGAATGGTTTGGGTTGGAAGGGACCTTAAGATCGTCTGGTTCCAACCCCCCTGCCATGGGCAGGGACACCTTCTACCAGGCCAGGTTGCTCAAAGCATCTTCCAACCTGGCCTTGAATACCTCCAGGGATGGGGTATCCACAGCTTCTCTGGGCAACCTGTTCTAGTGCCTCACAACCCCCACGGGAAAAAATGTCATCTTTAATCTGAATCTACCCTCTTTCAACTTAAAAATGTTACCTCTCATCCTATC